TAATTATGCATTAGGAGAAGAAAGCAGACACGTTTTTAAGGTAAAACAAAATCTTTAATTTAAAAAAAACCTGGCTCAGTTCTTGCATTTGAAACAGACATAAAAAGAGAATAGAAGAAATTAAATAGAGAGCCAAACAGAATATTATTGAGCCTATAGGTTAGAAAGAAACTGCATAGGCTATTAATTGGGTTATCCTCAACAATCCTAAAATGAAACATCCACAACATATTTCTACCTCAATTTGTATAGGGTTACAGCAAAATAGAATGAAACGTTCACAGGGTCACTGAACACAACAACATAGCATAACATTACAGGGCCTCAAACCAGAACAATCAAATAAAGTGGTGATTCAATATTACCCTCTCCTAACTGAAATGTGGCACATCACAACTTGACCTAGGCCTAGGTTCTATATATTTTTGTTCAAGAAAATTAGCATGTTAACGTGCTCTGGGGTAAGGCGTGTACGTAGCCTGTTTACAGTGAGCCCAGCTACTGAAAACACACGCTCAGAGGGGACTGATGTGCCTGGCGTACACAAATACCGTTTTGCTAGTGTTGCCAGCGTCGGAAACCTCCTTTCATTCACTTTCCACCAGCACGTGGGGCTCGACTCAAGTGGTGCAGGAGGGTCCTTTAAGTACATATCCACTTCACTCTCCACGTCATCTTTGCGGGCATCGGAATAGGTTTCACCCAGAAGTAAACTCATAGCAGATGTAGGCTTAGCCCCATGTCGCTGAGGCCCTGTATGGACAGTGTTACCGTCGTCTCCAGCGGTGGCGGCACCTGCAGTGATGCTGTCGCGTTCAGCTGTAGCCATTTGAAGCAGCGTGGAATGAGCTGACTTCCTGGTAGCTGGAGGAAGAAATCCCAGGTGTTTGTGACGAGGGTCAAGCATTGTTGCGATCATAGGGGTGGATGTGTTGAGGTCATCAGACTGAATCTGTTGAAAATAGAAAGAATAGGCATAGGCCTACAATTACACATATGAAAACGATACAATTGAATGACAATTACGACCTATTTGCATCATTATTTATTTTATTCATCATTATTATTAGTCTATTGGATAGACCCTATAGGTAGTTTTAATAATTAATGGATGCATACCTTCATGCGCTCGCCCAGCGAATCTCGCACTTTTTCCTTGAAGTCTGCGACTTTGGGGCTGTCCTCATCTGAAGCGCTGAGGTGAGTGTTGATTAGACTGAACGTGATGGGGTACGTGTTTGAGATTGACACCTCCGACTCCGCAGACATCACCGTAGTTGCACACTTCAATGTTCCCAACACGGGTGCCATATCTTCCATTAGCTGCCAGTAGTCGTCTCTCAACTCCAGCGTCCTCGCATCTGCCAGTTTTGTCACGGATCGGTCTGATAGCACGGCTGACACAGCCCATCGCTGTTCAACCAGGCGCTCAAACATGTCGCAGACTGAATTCCACCTGGTTTTACAGGATTGAATGAGGCGATGCGGAGGAAGCGACATTTGGTGTTGCTTTTCTTCCAGGGCTTTGGTTGCGATTGTGCTGTGGTGGAAATGTTTGACCAACCTTCCCGCTGCCGCGATTGCTCTGTCTACCCCAGCAGAAGCAAAACCATCATTGACAGCGAGATTCAGGGTGTGCACGAAACACGCTACTGATTTCCAGCTGACTCGTGTAGGATTGTTCGCTTGTACAATATTCCTAGCATTGTCGTGGACACATGCTGTAACGCGGCCGGAAAGTCCCCAAGTCTCCACTATATAATTCAGCTTCTCAGCCAAGTTGTCGGCGGTGTGTCTGTCAGAAATGCTTGTCGTAATCAGGATTGCAGATTTTAACAGCCAGTTTTCGTCGGTGTAGTGGCAGGTAACTGTGATGTAACTTTCTGTTGTGAGAGCCGTCCAACAGTCTGTTGTTAATGCTACAGCTGTAACAGCAGCGAGCTTTGTTTTTAGCTCACCTTTCGTTTTTTCGAACCGAGCTTCGAGGCGAGAAGTTATTGATGTTCTCGAAGGGATGTTGTAACCTGGCTCTATGAACCCAATGAGATCCTGAAATCCTGCACCGTCAACTGTGTTGATTGGCATCAAATCCCTCTCGATCATGCAGCAAATCTTCTCTGTAATGCCCTCCGCCCTTCTCTCATCACACGCTCGCCTTCCAATGGTAGCTGTGATTTTAGGTTGACCAGGTGAACTGGTGGTGCCATGCAAGACAGCAGCATGCACGGTGTTCAAATGATAACTGAGTGAGCTAGTGGAACTGTTGTATTTCAACACCGCATTACAAACAGAACATTTGACTTCTTTGCCTGAATTAACAATATTGAAGTGGTCCCACACCGCACTTCTTTTCGCCCGCTTCATTTCTTCATTTGGTTTTCAACCCTGGTCTCTCTCGCGACACGAGGCGTGTTCTCGTTCTCACGCTGTGTTAAAGTTACAGTAAAGCGCTAGCACCCTCTAGCGGTTAATCGTGATTAATACATTTTGATCGAGCAACCTCTTGATCGACAATTAATCTAAAGTCGATTAACCGTTTGCATCCCTAGCTGCAATTAATATTAATTATTAGATGCTTGTGCTTTAAGCTATGCCTCTTTCCTGAATAGAGCTGGCAGAGCAATTGCGAGAATGAATTTTGCAAACTTTTTGTTTTATTTTCACTTGAAAGCAATTCTGGCAAAGAGGTTGTGTGTTCACTTTGGTTCCTTTCCCTGAACAAGCATGGCAGGGCTCTTGAGGCTATAACTTTTTCTTTGCTTTTCTCTCTCATGAAAGCCCTGTTAGTGCCTTTCTTGGCAAAGTTGTGTGCAACTACAATGGTGTGTTTAACACCAAACACATTCAGCTTCAGGATATCTAGTTTATATGCAAAGTCTATTGGAGAGAGAGTCTAGGGCAGCATTTAGGAGCGTTGGGAGCGGCCAGTCTAGCAGTGTTTCTAGATACGGCCGAGGCAGTGAGGAAGTGAAAACAGGCAAAGGGCAAATTTGTGCAACAACGGAGGGACATGAGGGTGAAAAAGAGCGGTGACCATGATGGAAAAAGGGTCCCAGTGTTCTTGCGCACCGCACTCTTCTAGCTGGTCCATCTTCACGAGTCGTTTTCCACAATGGCGGCCATACAAACAAAACAAGCCGGTAAGGTACCAAACAGGAAATACAGATAGTGTGGAGCGGATGAAGATTTGACCAATCGGAGGCCTCCTGTCTGTGGCACTATCTGCGGTCACCTACAATTTTGGAGCGGTGCACCAGAGTGTCTGCAGAAGGGAGTCGGGGAGGGGCGGGGGATTGGGTGGGGGCGGCGGAGGGGGGGTGCTTGCATGTGCTGTTTGTCAGGAAGACAAACAACACATGCAAGCCGTGATATCTGCTTCTGTATAGCTGTTAGAATAAAACTATGGAACATTAATTTACACAAAGGGATGTCCACCTGTTTTACAAGGAAAGCTGGGAGAATTTATTTTAAATGTAAGAGTCTTCTGATACCATCATTATACCTCCACTAGAATATTTTCTCATTGAACTATGATGAAACGGTTTATAAATACCTACATTGGAAAACCTGACGTGAAGAAATTTGATTTTTATAATCTGGTACTTGCGGTTTTTACCTAAACCTAAAAAAAAATAATAATAATTCTATTCACACAAATTGCAGCGGGAAACCCCCAACAGCATGGCTGACTTTGGAGAGCTTTTACTGGGGACTCCCAGTGCTGTTGACTACTGCTAAGTGTGGGATCTGCTGCTCCATACAACAAAGGAATATTTAACTAGGATGATAATCCCGGTGAGCTGACTGCACTTATGACCTCAAAAGATGTCCGGCTTTCAGACAGGAGCAAGGTACTACTGCTCCCATTAACTTTATTTATTAGTATTTAATATAACCCTTTGGTTTGCTTTTCTAATTAAAACCACCTACAGTGCTTGAGCATTTACCTTTGTGTTTTTCATACAAAAGCTATAAAAATAACTGGTGTCTGCTTTAAGAGCAGCTGTCTTTTTTCTTCCAATAGAAAGTTTTCCTAGCTCAGTGCTTATAGGTTTTGCCTCTTGGATGTAGAAGCTAACGTCAGGCTCATTCTGACTATGGTTCAGAATAACTATGGTCAGCTCACCCTGACCACTTTTAGAAGTCACTTACACTCCACACTGTGGCCAGCCCGACTTAGTTACCAATCCTGCAGCGGGCAAAGTGCATTCGCCGTGCACATGAATAGCCATTTTCCTCTAATCCAGTAGCCAGTTGTTGTTGTTTTTTTTACACTATTCAAGTTAGGGTAAGTTGATGATTGATTTAATTCTGAACTCTTTCCTGTTTATCTCAGAGGTTTAATCCAGGGCTGCTGCTGCGTCCAGCTGAACATTTGGAGTCATTACATCGTGCCACAAAGGCTCTTTTAACATACCTTGGCTAATAAAAGTATACACACTGATTTTAAGAATAGGGGTTCCTTGTGTTGTTACAATAAAGTCACAGCATAAAAATCCATATCATTAAACATGAACAGGTTTCACCAGTGAGTCCCTGAAGTTATCTGCTGCTCATATTTAAATAAAAGGGAACTTAGCTGTTTCAAACTATTTGGATTGGGGTCCACTAATCTGTTTTTTGGCATTACATCAGCTAACATCACTATTACAGCCTCATTTACTCTATGCAAACATACTTTTGGGTAACTAAGATAAAATGGCAAGCCATTTATCAAGAATGCAGTGCCAGAGTGTGTCATTATGTTTTAAATTTTTCTGTTTTCTGTGGTTTGTCTCCTACAGCTTCCTCAGAGGGATGAGGATGGGATGATAACAGTGAATAGATTTCCATGACACTAAGTGTACATTGAAGAGAAAAAGACAGTAAAGCAAGCAAGAGCAGGAAGATGGATCAGTCTGCGAACAACCTCAGAGGGACCTTTAGAATCTCATTTGCACTGAAGATGAAGGGGAAAAAAAGTGGAAAAGTAATGAAAAGTAAAGGTAAAGTTCACTCACCCAAAGCCAGACACCATGCGGCAGAAGAGGAACATACTGTAGCCTTGAACAAAGGAGGAGAGGAAAGCAAAGAAGCCGTTGACGGACATGGATATGAGCAGGCACTGTTTACGGCCCACTTTGTCTGACAGACCACCCCAAAAAAACGCTCCGAACATCATCCCCAGATACACAATGCTGCCTGCAGAGAAGGGGAAAGGACACAAAGAGAAGTAAAAAGACATTTTAAATGTCATCCAATTAATAAGAGGACATATTTATATTACTAAAAAAAAATAAGTGGAAATAAGTTTACACGAAAACATATAGATATCGAGTTTCCATGAAATGCTTAATCTGATTTAGACTTGATATAGCTGTAATGGCTACAAAGAAGGCAACTTGTAACTAATCAATATAAAATGTCATTAGAATTCAAAACACGCAACTTTAATAACTTCTAGAAACAAGAAGAAATGTAAATGTATTGATTATCGATGATGTTTGTCTTAAAGCAGTATAACTTGAAAATTCTTGAATGTTTTTTTTATTTTATTTTTAACAAAGGTGGCGCCTCATGACAAAAAACAGGCGGGGTACACCCTGCAAGGGTCGGCAGTCTTTTACAGGGCAACACAGAGACAAACAAGAGTTCACGCACTCACTCACACCAAAGGGGAATGTAGAGAAGCCAATTAACCTAACAGTCATGTTTTTTGACCCCAGGCAGGGAATCAAACCCAGAACCTTCTTGCTGGAAGGCAGCAATGCTACCCACTGCTCTACTGTGCAAGATTCTTAAACATTATTTGACAGAAAAAGCAGTGTCCCCCACTAGACCAGAGGGTGGCAGCAGCGACTATTGCCAGCTTTATCATTGGAAACAAAAAAATCCTGAAAATTATGCTGAAGACAAAAACACAAGAAAGAGGAGCCGTGCTTTGCTCAAAGTCCCAATCCACTGATCAAAGAAAAAAGAAGAGCGAGCAAAGGTGAGAGCAGAACAGACACCAGAGCCTGTAGATATATGCTGTGCCTTATTTAAAATCTTACGAAAGGATTTTAAGGACATTTTTACCAGAGCAAGGAACAATTCATTTAAATTTCTTAATAATCCAGATCATGTGCGAGTTTTAGCTATGGTGTTGCTTGGCAGAGGTCTGTGCTCTCAGAGTGCTTTTCTAATTTATCTTAGATTTAAGTAACAACCACCAGGGTGTGACATTTTACTTACTTTGTTAAGGTTCTCCCTGACACATTTCAAGAAGCATCACACCTATTTATGTTGGGACAATGTTGCTTGAATATTTGAACACTCTTCATATCAGAGATGTTAGTCAGCATGTATAGGTAAATATCCAAACCTTAGGTTAATCTGCTTTATTTATTTAATCAATAAAATTGTCTTTCTGAGCTTTTATGATCGCTGATCTGCCAAAACATTTTGTGGTGTACAAGCTTCCACAACCCCTTATCATTGATAGCAGACTCAATGTTCTTAGGTGTGAAAAACCCAAAATAGACTCCTTCACACATAATTTATGTCATTATGCAACGTACCACACCCCAGCTTGTCAAATATTGACGCTTGGTCAAAGCCAGCTGCATGTTACATACTAACTCACAGAGGGTACAGTACTTCTCTCATCATATAACGATGTCATGATCTTGGTACTGATGACTGGCTTAATTACATTTCCTTCACCTTTCCAAATCTGCTCATTACCTCTCATCTGATCCACCTGCTCCTGCCTCTGTTTAAGGTGCTTGTATCCAGTCATCAGCCCCCAGATTCTCTCTAGCCAGTGGTGAGAGTGTTTTTAGAGTTCCTTGGTGTTTCCGATTTCGTGATCCTGACCTGTTTTGCCTCTCAACCACTGTGCCTGCCTGTTCCTGCCTGAACAGTTTACCTGATTTGTCTTCACACTCCTGGACCTCTGAGCCTGCCTTTCTGATCTGTTGCCTGACTGGCTTCGGACTCCTGGACCTCTGAGCCTGCCTGTTCCTGTTTTGATCTATTTGCCTGGCCTTGCTTCGGACTTCTGCTTGTTTCTCCAGGGCTCCAGCATCTGGGACACTCTGAGCACCCACCGCATCTTGTTGGCAGCCGACCGGCTGGATCCTACTATGTTCTCTGGCTACGGACTGAAGTTATAAACCAGGTTAGTGACTTACGTTCATAATCATTGTTAGAGTGATAACTATCCTGTGTTTCAACCAGAAGGGTCATAAACGTTTATGACCTCCTGTAGGTCATGAGGCAGAATCACACGGCTGTGTGACTTCCATCCAGCCAGTTGGTCAATTCACACTATCTTGTTACCTGCATCCTCCCAGACAATGATTACTGGCTCTTCTGTTTTAGGCCCGCCTGTTTGATGTTGTAAACTGTTAATAAAAGGCTTTGCCATGAAGGGATCGGTGTGAGAAGGTGATGGCTTTCCAAGCCAGCACTTTCTCTCCACCCGGCACATGCTGACGTCACAAAACCCTGTCTCTGTGTTGATCATTTTCCTTTTAATCTTTTAAACTCACATTTCTCTGGATTAAAACCCAACATTTTTGGTGCTTAAACTCCGGGAGTCAAGATCCAATTGTCCAGGACCGTGCGGGACCAAGGCCAAGAAACTGACGACAGCCGTCCGCCCTTTGCCGGACAGAGCAAATAGGTTGGTCCAGCCCTGCCCTGGACATCTGGTGACGACTCAAGCTGAGGACTGATCTGCACAGAAACGGTACGCCTAAAGTTTTTTATCAACAGTTGGTCTGGGACCAAAATGAAAGCTATAACTAGTTGTAGTCGCTAGAATATTTGACAAACAGGGTTTGTTGTGAGAGATCTGGGATCGGTATTCTGTGCGTTTGGATCTGGGACCCTCTGTGTAAAAGCTATAACTAGTTGTAGTTGCAAGAATATTTGACGAAACCAAGTTTTGTTTACAGGTCTGGGACCTGGGTATTCTGTGCGTTTGGGTCTGGGACCCTCTGTGTAAAAGCTATAACTAGTTGTAGTTGCAAGAATATTTGACGAAACCAAGTTTTGTTTACAGGTCTGGGACCTGGGTATTCTGTGCGTTTGGGTCTGGGACCCTCTGTGTTCAGGCTATAACTGGTTGTAGTTGCAAGAATATTTGACGAAACCAAGTTTTGTTTACATGTCTGGGACCTGGGTATTCTGTGCATTCGAGTCTGGGACTCTATGTTGGTTAAAAAATAAAAAATATTAGGCCTTAGGTGTGTGTGACTGTGTGAAAGTGTGTGAGGAAACAATCGAACCGCTGTGTACTGGACTAAATTCTTTAAAAATGGGACAAGGCAGTAGTAAGAAGGAAATGCCAGGTGATGTTAGATGGATGGTGGCGTGTTGTGGTGGTGACCCAGAGTTTGCCAGAAAGTGGATTGAGAAGGAGGGCTGGGATGGAAAGTTGAGAGTTGAGCCGCTGACAAAGATTCAGCAGAAGGTGGAGATGAAGTTGGTGTATAAATCAAAAAGAAAACAAGCTAAATACAGAAAAGAATTAGAAGAGTTAAATAAGTGGATTATGCAAGCAAAAAATAGGGAAAGCCAAATACAACAGAAGAAGGATAGAAAGACAGCTACAATTGCTGCTGTAAAAGTTAAAGCTGATGAAGAAACTGTTGTATCCTGTATGCTTCCTCAATATCCTGACCCTAATCAAATTCAAGGGGGTGATGGGGTTCAAGCAGTGGCATCAGCTGCGCAGGAAGGTGGAGATAAACCCCATCACGGTAAATATGAACACAGCCATGCCACTGTTCCTCCTCCTGTAGCCCCACCATCGTGTGGTGATATTGGAGGAGCAGGCCCCCTGTCCGTGTCGTCCTCTGTGGATGGTATGGAACTCAGTGCCGCTGACCCTTGTGAGCATGAATTAAGAAAATCAGGGGGGGATGTGAAGCTTGATTCGAAGTGTTACAGGGATGATTATCAAGTGGAGGCCTGTGGAAGGGGCCCATCTGCCCCTATTTATGCAAGATTGGCTGAATTAAAAAAACAAGAACAGGACCAAGATCCTGGGGGGGGGCATGTGCTTTTCCGGTGTTGGAGGTGGCCAACCCTCATTGTGGTCAACGCACGGGACCCCAAGATGGTGACCCACTGGATTGTGGACCCACTGTTCTTGTGTGTGGGCCATGGACAGATGCAGAGATGCGGACTTCCTGTCGAGGTTTACCTCCAGCCAGACAGAACCCAGTTAAATGGTCCGAGGATGTTAAAAATAGATTGAGAAAATTCATGGCAGAAACAGGAAAGCCATGGGCAGAAAAAGAACAAGATGACATTGACCCGCTAACTAAGTGGATGCTGAAGCTTTTCAGCGACAAAACTGTTCGGAAAACATGTAATCTGCCTAGTGCTCCTTTTGTTTCCCCACAGGAAGGCCTGAAGCCTGGAGACCGAGTGCTGATTAAAATCATCAAAAGGAAAACTTGGAAAGCTCCGAGGTGGGAAGGACCCTACATAAAGCAACTAACAACCCCCACCACTGTGAAGATCCAGGAGAGAAACACTTGGATCCACCAGAGTCATTGTAAACTGATTAAAAAATTTCCTCAGCAAAAAAGCCCAGTTACTTTCACAGGGACCCCACGACTAAGGTATAGATCTGTGGTGAAGTCCAGCTTCAAAGGGGTTTGGTTTTTTTAGGACCAATCGTCTCAACGCTGGTGAAGTAACCAACCTAACCCAGTTTTTTAGAGTCCGGTTAGTGGGTGTTTCCTTGGACGGACTGGCAAAGATCTGAAAAACCAAAGTGGTTATGCTGCCCGGTGATGACTGTTGGACCGGTGTTCCTAGGAACTCAAACTGACTGTCTGAAACAAAGGAAGAGCAGGATGATTTTTGATGGATCCACAGAAAATCATCCATACGGTGCCAATATGTGGTGGCAACATGCAAAACATGTTGCTGAAGATTTGAACAAAACAGACTGTTATGTTTATACTCATATTCCTACTTCTATGAATACAATATGAATTGAAAGATGCTGATGTTTTTATGTATAAGAGGAGGGAAATGTTAGAGTGATAACTATCCTTTGTTTCAACCAGAAGGGTCATAAACTTTTATGACCTCCTGTAGGTCATGAGGCAGAATCACACGGCTGTGTGACTTCCATCCAGCCAGTTGGTCAATTCACACTATCTTGTTACCTGCATCCTCCCAGACAATGATTACTG